AGCGATTACGTGCAAAATTGTCCATTCATTGGGCCGCGATATTAATCGTGGAAATTGTCGAACGATATTCGACGTCGAAATGCAATTCAAGCACGTTCGTTGCAGAAAGACTCCAATATGAAAATCTGGCTGGCGGAACATTTGAAATAAGAACCAGACACATTTTACACAATGCCTCGTTCGTTCCTCATTTACAACGAGATTACTGAAGAATTACTTCGATGGTAATTGTGCGAAAGATGAGATTAAATCGTACGATTAATCATAATACTTGATGCTTCGGAACTGAAACGTGAAATAAATTGATGTGAAAACGAGACGCATTATTAAACGTTAATTATATCACGATTAGATTATTTGAAGTATATAAGTTCGATACGACAACGATCTCGATCGTAAAAGCGAAAAATCCATTGCCTCGAATAAACAATGAAATGAAATTTTAATAACGAACACTGATGACCAAAGCAGGTGAACTTCAATGTCGATTATTGGACATGGAATATTTAAAAATTGTAAAAATACAGCTGTGAAATATATATATACGCAGGCAATGTGAAACTCTACGCGGGATCTTTGATAAAAGTTTTGGTTTTAAACAGTTTCACGAGAAGAGCGTTGCACCGAATATTGATAGAAAATATATAGAAAATATATCTGCGTTGTAGAAATGTTAATGGAAATTCGGAAACATGCCGATACATACGATAACTACGCATACAACGTTTCTGTCGAAATAGTTCGTTCGTTTCGGGAATTGATGGGGAAAAATGTAGAAATGTAGCGCGTAGTACTTTTCACGAAAATATTTACAAAAATTCGGACATTCATGGAAATCTGGAAACAACAGCTTCGTTATTCATATCAAAATAATAACAGAAAGGCTTGAACATTTATAGTCATTGAGCTGTGCATGGTGTCTTCTAGAGAAATACGAACGAATAGCATCTTTCAATGAAAATATCAATAGAAACTTGGAAATTTATAAGAACGTTGTAACACAAAGATGTATCATTTATTCAAACAATTTTCGCACGATAATATTTCGTATAATATTAATATTTCGAATCTTCCATTTTCATAAATCAGCTTGCACAACAATGTAAGTAAAAGCTGAGAGACACGTAATACGAGTGACCGGAAGATACACCTTCGAACACGACCGTGTCAGAAATAAAATAAATAAAAAAAGAAAAAAACACGAATAGAAGTCGAGGACGAGACAATCGACAGGCACGGCGATCGAAAATATGAAGCGCTGCTAGTTCCTGATAAAAAGGCGAAGCGACCGGTATTTGCAGAGGCCACGCGTAAATCGGGGCCATTTATTTGGCGCCCGGACAGCAGAAAAATGGTAAGGATAAAACGGTTGGCGGAAGTTCGACGAACGAATTCACGGTGCGAGGCCCGTTGTCCCGATAATGTTACAGTTTACATCGTAAATAACACACTGCATACCGGAAGGCATGTCCTCGCGTTTTGCCACGTATGGTCATCTAGGTTGCATCGGCCAGCGTGTTGTACATTTTCGCCTTCTTCTGCTTGCGTCGTCGCGTGAGACTATGCGTTTGCTCGAAATAATATAAGAGCGTTCCACATCGCTTTATACACGTTGGTTCATGAAAATATTTGAACGCCCTCGATGCAAGAGTTCTTCGACATTTTTTTTTTTTTTTTTTCAAGCAGAAAAAAAGTTTTCATCGAAAGTGTAAAATTAATTTAATACAGGTTACATTAATCATAGTGTCTTGTTGCATATGTTACGAGTTGCGTAACATAAGTTGAAAAGAACTTGCACCTTTTCAATCATTAGATACGAGAGGAGATTTATACTTTTTCAAAACTATATATAATGGCATTTGGGGATTCCTATTAAAGTGCGTATTAAATACAGAAATGTTTTATCCGCAGACGATTTTTGCACGTTCCAATTTCCCTGGTGTAAGATTATTTTATTATGTTGGATCATATTACATAACACTCTAACGATAAGCAGTTCCGAAAAATCTGACGTACGTTATTCACAAGATTAATTGTAAGTTAAACGAAATCCGAATAGTTCTCATAAGTTAGAGACGCGTGCATAATTATACAATAAAGTCTCATGAAAATTACAATAGTCATTTTTCTTGAACTATTATTATTATTATTATAAAATAGTTTGACACTTTTTATAGAATAAAAGATATTGTTTAGCAGCAAATGTTAAATTTTAAAAATATTAATTAAATAAAAAACTTTACTTATAAAATATGTTTCTATCCTAATGTAAGTAATCGTACATAAGCAGAAAACTTTTTAAATAATTTGTTAATGAATTTCTTTTCGCGAAACTCGCAATTCCTTTCATCTAAAAGTGTAATCTTAGTTTTTAAAGAAATTAACATAAATGATAATTTACTTGTTCAGTCCTATAGTCCACCAGATTACTACACACTAAAAAAACTATATAATTAATAAAAAAAAAAAGTATGACAGAACATAAACAAAAGTTTAGAAACTTATAAACTAGAAAAAGTCCATATGTTCAAGAATAAATATTTTATAAATATCAGCCGATCAATTAACATTACATTTGATTTACAGTTTTGAAACTCTAATAAAAACATACAATTCAGTTTGTAATATATATTTGTACATGACACTTGTTATTATTAACATGATAATAATATAATAAAATTGTATAATAATAACATTCGACTGTTTCAACTTTTCGACATCGTGAATAAGTGAACAAATATATTGAACAGAAGAAGTAACTTACTTCAGTATCATATGCCGATTACAAATGTAATTTTTACGACTTTTTTCAAACGAGAATTACTCACTTCATCTGCATAATTTTATCAACGGCCTTTAACTTTTATGATATTGTTAGTGTCTATTCGTAATCTATTCTTAAGTCGAGGTCTTCGAAAACACTCTTGATATCTTCTATTATTATCAAAAATGTCTTCGAGATTTCATATTCTTGCTTTATATTTCGCGTAAAAATTATAACATAATATTCTTAAGTCTCGTATTTCACACTTAATAAATTTGTTAATTAAAAAGTAATACCTTGTCGTCTGCCTTCCCTATGATAGTTTAACACTTGGCGAAATTTTTCTCTCTGTATGAAAACGAATATTTCAAGCACGTTATGATTTCTTTCTTCAGTGCAGTCAAGTTACAACTGAGAGCTGCTCTGTTTTATCCTGATGTTTTTAAATTATAATGTTTATCATTCGATATACCACGGTCATTTGTTATGACAGACTATTAGCAATTAACACATACCTACTTCGTTCGAGACCTTGACGGAAACTGACTTGGAAAGAGCCTGATCCTTATAGTATCTTGGTGGGGATGTAGAGTAACAACCAACCACTTGAACTTTAGCTTCATCACAATTCACGAAACGTTACAAACCTGTCACTATTTTAAAATGTATAATATATTTCTCACCCTCATGTTTGACAATAATGAAAGAAATAATCTTGAGGGATGAATATACACATATTCTGATAGTTCGTAAAAATTTGTATGATATTCGAGTTATATTTTTTATCAAAAAAGAAAATACTCTCTGTCACTATACAGTTTATTATAATATCTTTTTTATGGTTCTTATTCAAAATTTTTAAATGATATTAGCAAATTTATAATCTGAAACGAGATCAAATCGTTGATGTAGATAAATTATGCATAAAAATTTAATAAATGTAATCATAAGAATAATATACCGTATAATTAAATAAAAAATTCAATAGCGTGGCATCAGAAATCAGCTTTTGTGGTTCATTCATACCCAAATTTTATCTAGAAACATTTATTGTCAATGAAAAAAGACATTCACATATATATGTAATTCTTCAGAATTCCTTTTATGAAATTTATAAATAAATTAATCGTAACATTTTTATTTGTAATGAAATGGTAATAAAACAAGATAAATAACATTGAAATTTCGAAATTACATACTTCAAACATATTTCAAAGTTGTGAAGCTGATTTAAAAGATATAAATCTTATTGTTTAACTATTTTTTTACTATTTTCATCGTATCAAATTAATTATCACTGATAACGTCATTACTTACGTAATTTGAGTACTTATGTTGTACAAATGATTATTGATATAATAATGAATTTAATAGTTGAAGCATATTAACGAAATAATACCTTTATAAATTAATTTCTCCCTTAAAGAAAGTTATTATTAATTAATTAGCCCTTGATAGTAATTGCGAAATTGTGTCTGAAAAATAGATGATACTATTAAATACAATTTAAAAATTGACGAAGAATTAGCTGTAGAATTTTTGAATAAAATCTCTTCTTTTTATTGCATTATAGGTTACGTTTATAAGTTAGGTTTATATAATTTTACGATAAAAAATAATTATCTTGAGTATATTTCAATATTGTTAATTAATACGTAAACATGAAAAATGAATTGAAAAGATATTTCAAACCAAGAGATTTCGAGTTTAGGTCATCATTTCAATAGCACGGTCACGTTTTCCAAGTTGAACAATAAAAAATATAATAACGATAAGAACAGTACATAAAATTGCTAATGATACTGTCCACTGTATTATTCCAAATTTCATTA